TCCATGGGCAGGCATACGCAAGATGTGACCAAGCCATCGGGGTTGGTGTGGAGAAATGACTTTTTTTAGAGAACGACTATACGCACCCAACACACGACGACGAACTTCATCGTTGCGTCGGAGATGTAGGTGATCGAATACAGAAATAAAGTGGTGTTCGGCAGGGTTGCCCATCTCTCCGTTTATATTTAACTTTGTAATAGATTTAATTATGGATACAGCCCTATCCTCGTGCGAGGAAAGCAGTATCGATTTACTAACAGGTGGTAGAGTATGCAGGCGACATTGTGCTACTAAGTGAAGAACCAGATAAGTTGCACGCTTCTCTGAATAGTATGTGCGCTAGTGTAGCCATGTTCGTTATGCTTTTGCGCCTTCAATGTGTTAAATGCTGCTTCAAGATTGGGTTAGTCCAGTCCTCCAACCTCACCGTGAATGGCGAAGTAGTAGAGGTAGTACGGTAATTTTACTATCTGGGCAACTATATCTCATCTAGCGGATGAATCACAGATGAAGTGTCGGCGCGCATACACAAGGCTAGATTGGCATTTGCAACTTGAGACATCTGTGGCGCCGCAGCGAAATTTGGTTGTCTGTGAAGGGTCTAGTACATGCTGCAGCAGCTCGGCCAGGGCTGCTCAGCAGTGCAGAGATATGGCCACTACGGGACCATTATAGAAATAGATTTTCGGTGTTCACACACCGCTGTCTACTTCGCGTTGCAGGTGTCTGGTTGGGGAACCGAACCAGCACTGCTGTGGTTAGGCGTTTTAGGTAATCGAGGTCGTCCACTAGGACAAGTGGTCGACCTCCATAGATTACGCTGGTTGGGTCATGTGTTGCGCATGTCACCAAATAGGTTGCCGCGGTGCGCGATGTCTACCGAGCTTGGTAGCGGCTGGAAAAAAAGTCAAGAGTGGCCAAACGAAGACCTGGCATAAGGGTATGAAAACCCTAACGACGACACTGGGCCACATAGGTCCCGTTAGGTTCCGTGGCTGGGGCTCCCGAGATCATGGTCACCGATGGTTAGGGACACTGAGCGATATGGCTGGGTGTCGCAAACAGTGACGCACGTGCATCTACTCATTATTCTTGCAATATCAGTCAATATGAATTGTCTATCTTTCGCTTCCATTTACTCTCAACATTCCAAGGATTCCAATCTACTGTGCATGTTTACTGGTTACAGAAGCTGAATCTTAATCGAACTTTTGCTCTGAGAGACCAGGTTTCGCAACCGTAAAGCCGAACACTACGAACCACGGCGAGGCACACCTCTTACGTGATAGTTGGGTGTGATGGCGGCGCTACAGATTCGCAAAAGCTGCCCCAGCTATCGCTATTCGTAATGCGATCTCTCACTATGAATTGTTCCAAAATATGTGAGCTGACATCTCAGGAAGTAAATTTGAGACAAAACAACTTGATAGGATCAATACAATGATTCTGTGATTAGTTTTATGGGTTAGATTCTTATAATCTTAATAAATGCATGCAATGGAAGGACGTTTCCAGGTTACGCATGGCGTATTACCTTGCGACTGTTTCCACGCTTCAAAATAGACGAGCGCAATCGGTTACCCTTATGATTTTGGTGACTATCGAAACAGGAAATCGGTTGAATAACATGATTTAGACCTGATTATATGTTTGGGTAACCCCTAGTAGATGTGAACTTTATTGAAATTCAGCAACGGTGGAAAATGCATATTGATCACTTTTACTCTTGTAATGATACAAACATGCATCAAGTCATCGACCGATTTGCATCAACTAGAAGAAACATGTGGTTCCCTAGTGTTTGCACAATGCAAAACCATTTGCTCCAGGACGGATAAAATGGTTGGTTAATTTCCCCTAATGATTGGGAATAGATATGTTTTCGGCAACTCTTATACCGGAAATTCTTACATCGCATAAATAAAAGACGGAACTTATTGCGTTTGGATGTGTTTTCCGTCCCATGTTTCTTCTCCACTGCCACGTATATGTGATGTTAAATTATGAAAATACTCAAAGCCAAGTCGCGGAACTTCCAGTGACGAAGAACTTAAAGCTACACCAAGATAGGCATGGCTTCGAGCAGGAACAAAAAAGCACACTCCGGTTTAGATTTCGTATTACTCAATTGTTTGTGATTGCTGTTTTCCTAGATTGAACGCTGCGGTGGAGTTTGGATTAAAAGAACTAACCTATGGAGGATCTTTTATTCATTGTACAAGTGGGAAGCAAAACAAATAAGGTTGGTATCAGCTTAATAATTAAATTTTCGTCAGAAGTTTCGAGGATTTGGGGCGTGACTAGTGATAGGAATGAAAACTCGCGCCAAAAGACCCTATATGCCATCTTTACGTATCTGCGTTTGTGCTTGACGCAATAACCAAAAATACCACTATATATATATCGTCAACGGATAAAATCAAAAATCTGTCTTCCAGATAGGAATTCTCAGTAGGATGTCGACACTAATCACATTGTAAACGTGACCGAAGTGGTCCAGACACGTGCGGTTTCGCATTCTTGCCACAACAGAGGCAGTTTCCATCCGTCTTCACAAACCCCCTCTGTGTGCTCAGAAGCAATTTGTGCAAGCTCCCATGATCGGATTGCCGACAACTGACCTGTCATGAAACATGGAAGCAAATGATAATTGGGGACCAATTGTGACAAATTGTTGAATACTTTAATTACTTTCCCTTTTTTCCTTGTAAATCCTTCTCTGTTACTAGTCATATTTATTTTGTTGTAATGGCATGATTAAGACACACTGAAAACGAGCTTGTTTGCTAATTTGTGTTCTCATTATGAGCTCTGTGGTAGTGTTCAAACACCTATATAAAAGTTACTTTTTCATATGTAACCTGGAAGACAGGCTTGTGATTTTATCCGTTTATGATTTCCTTGTGGACGTAAGTATCAAGAATTTTCAACTCATTTTCTGCAATCTGACGTCCTTGCGCTATCCTAACTTGGGTATTCTTATCTTTGCCACCAATCAGCTTGTCACGCTACTCAGTCTGTTTCACTTCCTCTCTCTTTCTCTCTCCTTTTGGTATCCACAGTGCGCCGTCTGACTAACGACGAATATCCGCTTCTAGTTCAGCTCAACTGGAGCAAATTAGATCGGGAGGGAAAATTTGTGCTGAAATTGGAAACCACATCCAGCGATCAGATACAAGTGAGTTATGGATTTTGTACTCCAGCTTCATTTACTGTACGTTCCGGTGCGTCCCTGTATGTATGTTGGCTGGTTCCTTTATCCAGTTCGTATGGTGTTTCACAAACTGCCGGTTTGATTTATGATTTGCCATATAATCCATTCTGTGTGATGTTCCTTAGATCGGAATATCGTTCAAGAAGTTTGGAGATTTGACATCAACATTTGTTCACTTCTTCCTTGTTCGATTTTATCTCGAAAAATCGCCAGAAAACTCAAATGTCACATTAGCTTAATTGTCATTTTTGCGCCTGCCATAACGCTGCTAATTCAGTTTTTTCCGGTCCATTACGTTTCTTCTTTGACACTTAATTTTTTCAGGTTATCTTTGTTGGTATTTTAGAACGTATCCACGCTCCTTTTTCTTCGTCAATCGGAAATGTGTTTGTTCAGTGGGGTTTCATCAAACAAATTTTTAAAAGGAAATACAAAACTCTAATTTCTGTTATTCATCCAGAGAGAGGTTCGATAAACTTTCTGCGATTATGCTTATCACATTGTCTTTTACGTCATACATACTGGTGATGATTTTTTAAAAGCTCAATTTCTTTTCCGAAGAGCGGTTGTCAATCGTGGTTATGCCTGTTACCATTTACATTCTTCCGAATGGTGGTTTTTCTGTTTCGTTAGATAACGGTCATAATCGTGTTTCTGCTTCATCAGTTCCACTTAATTCCCTTATCGATCACATTATCCGCGTGTCCCGTTGTTCAACGAAGCGTTATCATTTCTGGTTGTTCTCTTTCCTTTCATGAACAGACTGCGAAGAATTTGCAACAGAACTGTGGCTCATTTTAGCACCACAATTTGGGATCAGTCATTACCATAGTTTGATGATTTGAGCATCTTTCATCCGCAGTTCAATATATGGAGAGTCCTGATGAGCCATACACACATACTTTCGACATACGGATCTATCACCTGAATAATTGCAATCAGATATAAGTGGGATCGGTATTGAAGGTTAAATGTTTATACTTTAAACCAAGTTATTAGATTCTCATGGGAATGTTTGGGTTGGTTAAGACAAGTAAAGTGAATTAAACGAAACTGTTTTGGTGGCCACCTTTGGAAGTTCTTTTTCAAGTCCTTTAAAGATGCGCATAATTGCGTCACAAAAAACTTGTTGTTTGGTTCTATCTCCTATTAACTCATCTAATCATTGCTGTATGGATCCAATACTATCTACACGATGCACAATTTCTTCAATAGTATTCATTTCCAACTTCATATCTGTGCTGTTTGATCAAATTAGCTTTTTTTCACTTTTTTAAATTGGAATCCTGAGTTATCATTGGACTGGGCCTAATCTTCTTTGAACAGAAACGAGGTTTGCTGAATGCGTGTAAATTGAAAAGGATTATTTTTCATTACAGTATAAAATTCCGTGACAAGTCGGTTGAATTGTTTGAAATCTGTGTGAAATCTGATCAAGAAGCGTGCTCCGCACGCTCTCGTTGGATGAATTTTCGTGTGGTACAGTTCACAGAACGGCGCACAGGTAGTATTGCCTCAAAGAATAGTTCTCGTACAGAGCAAGTGGATGGGTGTTGGAATGAAGCAAAACGGCTACCCTACTGTGTGAAGATAATGCCATACATGGGGACCTGGCGTTTGCTTCCTAAAGAGGTATGTATAACAATGAGCTGGGTTCAGCGTTATACTATGATCGTGTGACAAATTCGGTTACCTCCCAGTTTTACCAATTTATTCTGTGCGATACTGTTCAAGGCAGAAATAACCCTGTGACATAAAATGATTCATGGAAGCCTTTCGATCCATGCCAATTACCGGCACGGAACGGGAGCCTCCATTTGAAGGACTCATTCATCACCGTTAGAATCACCCGTCATGGTAATCTGGCGCGCGGCTGACTGTTGGGAATTACTTCAATATAAATTAGCATCTAATTCAAATTAGGACAAAAATGGTGTTCTGTCAAATTAACCTAGTTTTATTTGTATCCAGTTTTAACTGAAAGAATTAACAATTCTCCAAGGAGCTGTGAGTTTCGGTAGTTCTTATTCCAAATCAAGAATTCTTAAGCATGCGGTTACAATCCTAGTATCCCGACGGCAAATTGCTATTTTTCTTAGGCAAAACTTAATCTTTTTCAACATTGTGATGACGTTGGACGCACAGATTCGGTTATTTGTGTAAATCTGTTCATGAATTTTAGCCGTAAAAGAAACTAACAGGGGCCGTTTTCAGCCTCGCCTCCAGAGAAGCTTACTGAAGTACTGTGAAAACTGAGGGATAGGCGTATGTGAAGAAGATTTGGCCACTGTTTCCGATAGTGGTCGATACCTGTTGTAACTGGTACAAAACACTGGCGGTCAGCGAATCCCGGTTAACGGAATAATTTTCTATAAAAAATGGTCAGCACACCCACAATACGAAGCAACATCTTGACCGCTGGACTGAATATTTAGAAACAATTCAGCACAGTTACTTCACCTTCCGCAGTCGGAGCAAGTGGGATGGTTCGATTAAGCTAAAAGCACCGAAGTAAGCCATCGTGCATTTAGATGTTCCGGTGGGAAATTCTTCATCACGGGTTCGGATGAGTAGGTTTCACTGATTAGCATAAGTTTTGAACGTGTTTTAGTTGCCTACCTCTTTGGGGTGGTGAAACTCACGTGGGGGTTAGCAGAAGTGGGGATCTGGTTTGAAGAACTTCAAAGAACTTCAAAAGAAATGCAAATGGTAGGGTGCGCGAGGAGTTCTATTAGGCATAAATACTTATGAGAGACATTAAAACGTCTATGCAGATAGTTCAGTTCAGTTCTTTTTTTACAACCATTAACCATGCATTGTCATTGGTCGGTTTTGGTTGTTGTCTTATGGTTACCCATTTAGATAGAAGAGTAGATTGAGGGTTGAAATGTTAAGAGTAGAGCCAAACATAAGATAGATAATTCATACAGACTGGGGTTGCGAGAATAATGATTAGGTGCACGTGCGTCACTGCGACACCCAGCCATATCGCTCAGTGTCCCTAACCATCGGTGACCATGATCTCGGGAGCCCCAGCCACGGAACCTAACGGGACCTATGTGGCCCAGTGTCGTCGTTAGGGTTTTCATACCCTTATGCCAGGTCTTCGTTTGGCCACTCTTGACTATTTTTCCAGCCGCTACCAAGCTCGGTAGACATCGCGCACCGCGTATCGCACCACTTGTCCCAGTGGACGACCTCGATTACCTAAAACTCTGCACCCAAACTCATCACTGTTTGTCTGGGAGGCAGACAGCAGTCTTCATTAGACAGTATATGGCTGATAAGTCGATCGTGTGCAGCAAAATACTTGCACAATAAAATCAATAGAGACTATCTTGGTATACCACTGTCACGAGAAAAGAGGTTAAATGAATCTAAATCTGAAGATAGGTTCTTTGAAACGGAGAAAAGTCACTGCGGAGCAGTACAGTCAGTGTGGAAGAGTGTGGGCTATCACAAATGTAAAGACTGTATTTAGATGAACGACAAGTTTTTTAAGTCTACATGTCAGTCTTCCCACCCCAATGTTGGTGTTCAACATTTGAACCGATAAAGGTTGTGACGCAATGTGACCTCGAAATATTTTATGAAGCCAGCCTTGGCAATTATACCACTACCAACGGCAAGCTCTGATACGTTACTTAAACAGGTCTAATAATGCAGTCTTAAGGCTAAAAGAAACATCAACACATGTATCCACACAAAGCGCCATTGATCGAGGCGCAGACCAATTATAATTTTGATTTAGGCAGTCTTAAAGTTGGTGAGAACTGTCAAATTCATCGAAGGGACATCTAGTTATCACGTCATCCGCGTACTTGCATGCAATAAGGTCGGGAGGGATCATTAGTTATGTAAAAAACGGAGACATTCGCATCCTTAGAAAAACCGGAACCGAATTCTAAAGGGAGCAGGAAATCTTACTGTCACAAAAAGTGAATTCCGTACTGTATAAGAAGTAACTGATACGGGGCGTTCAGCACATCGAACAAATCAGAATATCAAAGAGTTGTGCATGTGCGCGTATGCGCTGCTAAACCGTCTATTCTCTCTCTGTGTTGACCATGTTGGTTCTTCTCAAGCAGACTGACTTATCTGCCCCATACACGTTCTTTTCTTTGTGAGAACAGTTTGCGCCGGGCAGCGATAATCGGCGCCCGCTTAATTCTGTATTCGCTATACGGCGGTGATGATGACACTTGGTTTTGGTTCACTGTTTCTCTCAGTTCTTGGTGGAGTGGCCATATGCAGATGGACAAATGCATCGTTGTAGTCAGTATTGGGAACAGAGCATGTAAAAACACAGTCAGACATTTCTAATTTTATTTTTCAATTTGTCTAGAAATTCATCTCATGCGTACAATGAAGAACCGTGTTTCCTCGGGATAAAGGAACACATTCATAATATAAACTGACAAAAGGGTGGTTATGCACTGAATGTCCCACTGGGAGGCGTTTGGATGGTAAAAGCGGAAAATAATCCTTTTGGTACCGTACCGTGTAGCTAAGTATTTAACTCGTGTTTACTTTGTTAAAATATTCAGATTTTTTCTGTTATTTATTATCCTTTTTATGCTCAGTCATGAACTAAACAAAAACTTTTAGTGTTTAGTTATCTGTATATTGTTCAGGGCTGAACGTCCTTTAGACCCCACGTTCACACACAATCCTCATTTCATACAGTCAACCATACACTGATGATATCCTCATTTGATGTCCATATACCAAAAATTCATTCGGTCCTCTCCAGAACTACTTCACTAACCTTTGCAGCTGGTCCACATCTCGCTCCCTGATGCTCAATTTTAGTGTGCTGGTATCCCTTTTAATCTCAAGTTCAACTCTATACCAATCGGTTTTTGTTATAGTCTTCCGCCCCGCACCGACAAGGTCATATATGAAAAATATTTAGGTGTTATTTTATCTCAATTCTTCATGTTCTGTGTTGAGAGAACGTGCATAAAATTTTGTAAGTTTTCCTTTTCCCACTTACAAAATTGTAAAACGTAACCTCCCTCTATGCTTAATATGTAAATTTATCATCGTCTGAATTTTCTCTCGTTGACTATATTTCTTTCTTGTCAGTTTTCCGGGTTTGAGAAATAAGTACTTGACTGTGCTCCTCATGTATCTTAAATTCTCGTCCAGATCCAGTGGTATTCCCTATATTATTGGTCCTATTGACTATTTTATTCGCAAGCATTTCGAAGCATTTGATCAGTTCGCCAAATGTCTAATACCGTTCACTATTTGAACAATTAAATCCTTAGAGCTGTCTTTGAATACCTTACCCGTTCCCAATTCCCGCCAGCTCATCCACATTTTGTTGAAAATTCATTCACCCACTCAAGAAGCTCTAGACTGACGTTCCACTCTCATTGAAGCTCTCCAATAGTGCATATTCATTGATCCGTTCAGGATTCAAATTCGGGACCCCTCGCACGAAGGGTGTGTGTGTTACCACTTTCTGTACGTGATCGATATAATTCACCTTACAGATTTCAAACCAGAATGAGATTCCAAACACTTCCCTTATGCTGCTTTTAGTATACGGGCACACTGTTAATCCTTACTTTTGGAACTAACCGGCGTATGCATTCGTTCAATGTATTTCCATCCTGTTGCATTGTGAACATAAAATGCCCTGCTATTCTGGACATGCACAAGTGCCTCAATGTTGTGTTCTGTGTCTATCTGAGTTCTAACCCGTTGTTGACGTTCATCTTTCTACTGTCTTAGCACAAAATGAATCATTCATGCCGTTCCTTTTTCGCCTATCTCTGTTCGACCTGGATCTATCCTTGTTTTGTTGGTTTGGTCCCACTCAAACGTACGTTCTCTCTCCTGCTCTTGCGAATCCCATCCATTATGAATGCCATAAAGTTGTACATTGTACGCTCAGTTGTAGCCGTGCTTCTGCGTGGCTAATTCCTCGTACATAGTGTGAATTACCGCGAATGTAGAGATGCACGTGACTACTTTACACACGGACAGTTGTGCACCCGGAGCCCCAAGTCGACCAGGCTTTTTCTATTTGGCAATGTAGCTGTTGATCAATTAACAATGTCTACTTGACCTGGTTACATGATACCGATACAGTATTCAGGAGTCTACCGTTTGTGGTATAAACCGTCAGGGTATCAGTTTGTTTGCTGCACTGCATCACAGTTACTGCACCGAGTGTGAGAGAGAATTATCACAACATATAGACACATGGTTGATGTCATACGGGTCTGGGCGTTCATCATTTTCAATTTCTTTCTGAAAACCGGTTAACATTGCTGATACATGCGTTCATCTTGACACGAACAAATTCCTCAAACTGACCAAAGTCACGATCACTAGAATATGGCCAAAAACTAAGAACAAACAATACACAACTCACCCATCCTTTTCCAATCGACTTTTCCTAATTCACTAGAAATAGTGTCTATCTTGACAGGCGTTGGGTCGAAAGTTCAGTTGAGTTTTCTGTTATCTTACTGTAATTTACCGCTTATTAATTTCTCGCTCTCGACAGAATGGTGAACATGTATTCATTCAAAAATTGCTGTAATTTTATTCTACCTGTTTCATCGTAGTCAAATTTACTAGCAAATAACGCTAATCCTGTTGCATTGTTTTTATCTCCCGGTCGCATAACAGCAATGATGGATGATCAATGGAATCAGCATCAACTTGCCCATACCCCATGCCTCAATTCTATTAAAAGAACAGTTGTTTCTATCAATGCTCAATTCATACTCCACCTGGTTATAAACGATTTGTTGTTGATAAAATCATCCATGAACGTGTCCTGGTAGATTAAAAACGCATCCTTATCGAGGGTGTATCATACTTGTAATGGCTCTGCATCTTGATTTCTATTTTCTTTTCGGTTTTTTATTATTTCATTCAATCCCTTTACTGACTGTCGTCTTCACGAAGTAGGATTTTTCCTCAAGTATTATATATGGAAGGTCTGATTTCTTGCGAGGCTTTCGATTGGAGTTAACAGACAGTCACCTGTGTTTTCCTTCGTTGCTGTCAGACTAAAACTGAACTGAATGACTTTCACTGAAGACGACACCTGAACAAGCATGAATTAACAACTCTGTTCGGTCCTAGTGTGAGCTGGTTGGCACAGTGGTTACTCACACGCCTTCCATGCGATGGGTCCTGACGGGACGGTGGGTATACACTGCTGATGAGCTCTAATAAGAGCGAAACTCGAGTTTAGTGTTTCTGGGTGTGTGGTTGACTGAGTTAGCTGAGGATTGCGCGTGAAGATGTATTCTAAAGATTGGTCACTTCAAATCATCATGCATGTTTGTATTTGCGTTATGGATCTCAATTTATCGGCCTTCATGTTTCTCTGTTCCGATTTTGAAAATCCAAAAACTTACAGCTGGGTAATGGGAGCTCGAGAAAAGCAACATCTAACGGCGCAACACACGGCCCCGGTTCGTTACACCCAGAAGGCAATCGTTTTCGACGTCGGTGGTCCGTTCGGAAGGACAAACAACAGCACGTGCATGAGTTATCAGCTGGGACTCGTCCAAGGCGCAATCCATTGGGATGTGCCGCTGCGGTTCACAACTGGACCAAAGAACGCCTCGATGGACATCATAATCATCACCACCACCATCGAAATGCGGCCGCAGCTGAACATGTGTTCACATGCTTACCAGCCAGCGGAATCAAGATACACAGTCCGGGGTCTCCTGCGAATATCGACTCTCGTCGTGGAGCTGCAGGAACAAATATGGTCCTCTCAGAATCTCCACCGGACTCGAGCTTCACACGGACAATTTGTAATCCGGAAGCTTTGATGCGCCGTAAACGTCAACGCACATTGGAAGCCAAGTTGCATCAGATTTTACAGCACGGCGGCCCTGATATTGGTGCGTTTGCGTGCTTACTAGAACCACGAAACCTATCTCGATCTTCGGTCTAAATTCGATTCCTTGTGTGCATAATAATCTTGGCACAGGGTTCGATATTCAGCATTGTTTCCGTAATGTAAGAAACAGTTAAGAACTATTCATTTTTTACGATAGGATATACTAATATGGTCATTTTGGAGGATGAGGACAGCTGTTTTTGAGAAAATTTCCCCACGATTGAGAAATGGTGAGGAATCATCTCTGTAGCCCATGACAATAGAATAGGTTATAATGGCGGTTTAGCCCTCAGTAGAATACGACCACAAAATGGTCTCGATTGATTTGTTTACAATATTATAATTTGATTTTACAAAATATATAGCCAAAATCTGGGGCAAATCGGTTTGTAGGCGACCATATTTGCGGAGTTTAGATCACCCTTGCTAAGGGATAGGATTCTGGTCCCGTTTCATGTATTCAATCAGTACTTACTTTCCTGTGTTGTTCTCTTTGTACAGCTTAGCAGTTCAACTCAAATTATAAATAGTTTTGTGATTGGGGCTAGCAACCGTTGTCAAGATCAGTCGTTTATTAAAAGAACTTATTCAAGAGTTTCTTTACGTACGTACGTACTGGGACGAGGTCACGATGAAATTCAAGGAACTAAATAAATGGGCATAATACCACGTTATATTGAATAGTTACGATATTTCAGTCGAACTTCAACCCCCGTCATTCATTTTCCTCATCTTACGCAACAACTATTTCATACTCCATATTGAATGATCTCAAATCGTGGTCAGAATGTATTGTGAAGCTTGCAATGATATTTTGATCAGCATTGGAAAGTAAGTAAAAGTGTTTGATATATATATGAACAATGAAACTGTTTATGAAAACTGGTTCATCACGGTTCTCCGGATAAATCAATTCCTTTCATTAGTTTCATTCTTGTGTCTATAACGCTAGCCTGATTTCCACAGTTCGGGTGGTGGAATCATTCTTTGATATTCATATGCACAGTTATGTATTTATTGAAACAATTAGTATAGGTTAAATCTAACACGCTTCCAATTGACCTCATACTGCTTCTGGAAACTCGGATAATAAACTTGATCAGTGGTATTCTACAGCAAGTTTTATCGTCCTATAAATTTACTGACCTCTGAATGTTTCAAGAAAAAAAGGTTTTGACGGTTTCATCAAAGCCAAACCTGCCTGAAGTTCATTGCTAATGAGACTTTCAGTTAACACGAAAATAGGTTAGTACTGATTAGCATTCTCAGAGTTTTGACCTTATAGGCAATTATCGTGCTATGGTACCAAGGTCACAGAGCTGGGTTTTTGGAAAATTTCCATTTCAGGTGGAACTTTAAAGATCTACGGTGGACAAATTTGCCCAGAAGTGCCGTACAAAACACTTCTGCTGTCTGTTTCGGATACCGTCGCTGACGTGATTCGTCAGAGTCTGGATAAGTACGGTTTCGAACAGGCTGATCCAGATGCCTATTGTTTGGTAATGCGAACGCGCAGTGCTGCTGAAGTAGCCGCTGGCCTCGGTGGTGTTGAAGAACTCCTGTCCGATGCGGATTGCCCGTTAGGGCATTTGTTTTCCTCCGCACCCGAAGCAGGAGCAGTGGTCACGTTTGAAGTAAGTTACACAGCTTGGGCAGGCGTATATTTTGAGCAAAATTTACCATGTTTTTCATATAGAAATCGAAAGTTGAGGCTTTAAGAAACTAAATTCTCTATTAAATCGCTTGGTAACATCACATTCCCCCATTGGACGCACAATTTGTAACGGAAAGATCTCGAATTAAACCAACTGACCGTTATCGAAAAGATTCCTTAGTGACAGAGCGATTAGAAAGAAGCTTGTATTAGTGGCTTCAACAAATACTGTACAGTTGGCGCTTAGCAAAAACCTCATAATAAAGTAGACAAAGACAATGTCCGCATATGGTCTAAGTTAGCAATTCTGATTGTCGGGTTG